GTATATATATATATATAACTAACATATTAGTGCGAATAGCCTAAATTTAATGTTCTCTATAAAAAAAAATTATATTTAGTTGAAATCATGTTTTTAAGGGATTTTATTTTATAAATACTTTTATTGGTGGTATATTTTTTATTGTCGAATCTACTCGACGGACTGTAGTAGAACAAAGTCAATGGTAACTTATATTTTAAAAAAACCAAACTGATAACGTCGACAATATTATGACGATTTATATTGTACGTAATTTGACACACTATATTATCTCATTCGCAAGTAATTGTTAGGCATAAAACAGCATTTACTTTTACTATTTACACAACACGTTTGCGTTACAAGTTAGTAGGCCAATGTAATGTCCGAGAAACATTCCTCTATTGTAGTATTGTTTGTAGACAGAGCCACTATGTACTTGACCAACGGCTTAATGATCCATCCAAAGGACGAGGTAGTATTAAGGGTAATGCCCGTATACAAATTGACACGCTCGATGGTTGATAGCTTTAAAGCAAGGTACGGGATGATAATGGTGAATATATTGGTGATTTTAATGGTGATAATGATAATGGTTGTTAAAGTGATTTTGACAATGATAGAAAGGTGGCAGTGATGTTAATGATGATGATAATTTAATTTAATAGGGTCTAGTTCAGACTAGGTGGATAAACCCAGCTAGACTCACCGGGTTTATCCACCTGCCAGTTTGGTCTGAACTAGGTGGCTTATCTCAAGCCGGGCTGTGTGCTCCTATAGTAACTATAGGCCTGGCGCGGCACACGGTTTAACTTTTCAAAGCCGGGCTTTAATCGTTGCGGGGGGTCTTGCATTGACTTCGGGTAACGAAATGACCAATCAGCATTTAATTACGTACGCCGTGAGCGAGCGTACGTTTCGCGAGCAATGTTTTGAAACACGTTTCCTGGTTAACGGTTCATTATTATGCAAATTCTCGTGGCTAAACCCGCTAGTCTGAATGCCCGGCAAAGTTAAGAAGGGCTTAACGTTGAGCCGGGCTTAACTCAAGCCTAGCTTATCTCCAAGTCTGAACGTAGCCTAACACTTATATCACTGCGAGTATTTCATCACAGCTGCATATAAATCTATATAAATAGGCCTACCTTTCTTTTATTTATTGTCAAATCTTTATTTCAATCATTAATTAGCAAATAGGCCTATTTATATGGTTGGATTTGTATATTTTGTATAAGTTTTCTATAGGCCTATGTTAATGTCACAATTTCTATTCTATGCTCCATTTTCCACTCTTCTATACATTACGGGGTTCTTCAAATCCGACTTCATGCCTTGACATTTTCGTAAATGGGATCAACCTTAGTGCGCGTTTCATCTACTGCAGCAGATGTTGCGTTTGCGTCGTTCTTCGTGGTACTATAAGCGTTATCATTCACTTTGTTAAGTTCATTGTAAACTGCAGGAGTAGGCCTATTACTCAGAGCTTGGTAATAAGCGTTCTGATACTGGAGATGAAATTCTCTTTCTTTTTTTTTCTAGAAAAAAAATAAACAATATTTGATTAATGTTAAAAAATGTACTTGGCCTAGTTAATTTAACAACACATACCGGTAAATTATGGCAATATATTCAATTCAATTCAATATTTCATTTATTCATTAACACAAAAAAGTATTAAAAAGTGGACAAGGGACAGTTAAAAAGCTAAATGCTTGTCTAAACTTCACCTTTAACAAAGGCAAGTATATTTCAAAAAGTGCATTCATCAGTCTTGTTTACTGGCATAGGCCCTATATGTTGTAAAAAAACCAAAAATTATGACAATACTTACACGAATATAGTAGCACATCAGACAAGTGGGAAGGGAACCAAAAATTATTGCTGCAAATGTAGTAAAAATGAGGACCATCGTAGATATTTTGTATTGTAAATCTGGAACACCTAAGGAAAAATTGAAATGATATTCCATGTTCTCATTACATATTGCGCGAAAGACCGCCTCTTGCGACCCTTCGCAAGGATGTGAGGTATACTGGGGCGGGTGCAGATATTTATAGGAGGGGTGCAGAAAGAAGACGGGTACTCTTGTATAAATCACATAAGTTCAAATGACGTTCGGAACTGTCTTCTGTCTTGTTACCCTCCATAATTGTCTTGCTAGCTCAAAAAGCACTCCAACATGAGGTCCGGCATTAGCGTAACCTAGAAATTCTTAATCGTTTTGGTCAATATATGTTTATCTGCTCATGTGTAGGAAATTTAACAAAATTTATAATAGTAAATTTTAGTATTTAGATTACGTTTTCATTTCTAATGTTCCAAGTTAAAAAATATAATCATTGTAGTTTGGCAGCTAAATTACGAATGAAATGATACCGTTAAAAAATAATAGACTTTGGTCATACATTGTACAAACATTAAAAAACAACAATGGCCTACATAAATAAATTTAAAAAAAAATTAGTGTAAAGTCATACAACAGTAATATTGATATAAAAACAAAAGCATGGTTTAGATGGAATAGTATACCGTAACTTAAGAAAGTTGAGGTCCTGAGCTTGAAGGTATATTATTTTGGGTTAAAAATATAATGCAAGGCTGAAGTATTCTGCTGGTTTAAGATATTCTACTGATGGTCTATTTGATCAGGATATTCAGGAACTAAAATTTGGAGATTTGCATAGTTGGTGAGCGAATTGTAAACATACATTTGTTCCTTCTACTATTTTTAGGTTAGAGCACTATTATAATATTGTGAGGGTTGTCAAGTATGATTCTGATCTGTATGCTCTCTAACAGCGCCACATGTTTACAATTTTATGCTAGCATTCCATGCTGGAACGCGTACCGTATTCAATAAGACATCTGATATATTCTTTATAAATTGTCAACATTACATAATATAATGGTAGTTCTTGAGTATTTTTAGAACATAAAATGATGGTCAATCATGAATTATTATTAAACAATCAAACTATCTTTAAATTTTGTATTGGGTCTCTAATTATTACAGTAATGGCATTTTATAGTTGTTAAGTCACTATCGTTATTGTTTGTAAAACTGTGCTATTAACATACAATATTTGTCAGTATTGGATATCTGCAGTTCTGTGGAAGTTCTCGTTAGACCATTTCTTGTGAAGCAAATAACGCTTGCATTTCTACATGTAGTTTTATCCATCATATAACTTGCTGAAAATTCTCCTTCCGAAACTAATTCTCTATTATAGAATTATTCGTCAACTAAGGCATGAATCGCCGTTTATTGTTGACTATTTGATTGGCTACTAATTGTACTACTGTAAACTACTGTAATTTAATTGTTGCGGTCTGCTAGTAACTAATTCAATTCCTTCAGTCTGTTGCATTACACTTTTTTTTAAATAAGAACTAGTAAAAATTTTCCCAGGCTCAGGCGATTTCAGGCTCAAGATGTTCTTAATTTGTTTTTATTTTACACACTTTTTAAACATAGAAAATTATTATTGTACAGCAAAAATGGGCCCTGAAAAAATGCCCTGGAAAATTTGCCCCAGAAAAAAGGCCTGGTAAAAATTGCCCCAAATGACAGTACACCTGATAATAGGGGGTATAGTATTACATAGTCACACCTACACATAAGGTACAGATATAATTTTTTGGTTTTTCAAAAACCTCATTTGACATCTTACCTCAGCCTCAATTTGTTCTTATTTTGTTCTTAATTTTTAAGCAATTTCAGCCTCAGTGTTCTTATAAAATGTGTTCTTATAAAAAAAAGTGTATTGGCCCCTATTAGTAGTAGTAGATAAATAATTGATCCTTTTTAGTGGAGCACTACAATGTTTAATTAATGTTGTATACTTTCATTTTCCACCATTATGTGTAAAGTTTTGTTTGTCTATTTTGCCTAATAAATTAGGTCATTCAAATGTATTACACACAGAAAATAAAATCTTCAACATTGAAAACAAAATAAAAGTACAGTAAATTGATTGATTGATTGATTTACTGACTGACTAATTATATATAATAATATTGATTGATAGCGTATCCTGGGAAACAAGACATCATTACCCGCTATACTAAAAACTGATGTTTTTATAGGGTTGGCCTATCTTAAGAAAACAAAGAGCACATAATAATAATAATTATTATTATTATATCAGATGGACATTTATTAAATATTAATTATATAATTGTTGGTACTCACAGAATTTGATAACCGATATATTTAGATTGAAACTGGTTTTTCCTTCTACATGTACCTCATTTTCTACTCTGCATTGGTAATTTCCACTTTCATTAACAGATGCAACTGGAACTCGAAGGATTTTAAAATCTTCATATATTTCATATCTTGAACAATTGTGTGTGATGATGATGTTGTCTTTTAACCAAGTGACCTGTGTCGGTGTAGGTGGATTGGCATTGATACTGCAGGTTAAGGTAAACGAGTTGCCTTCATACACACTGCTATTAGATACTGTGATAACTGGCTTGTCTAGATCTAATAACAAATAAATTCATACTTCCATTAGTTGAGCTCTGACAAAAAGGAGGGTGTTTCGTGCTTCTGGATGAAAGCAATTTACATATGTTGTGTATTATATTTTTATAGAATAATTATATATATATATTTTTTTTTTCGTTCCATATTATAGTTTCCACGTTATATTCAGTTGTTCAGTAGTAATCGCACAAGATCGTCACTGGACAGGCGCGTAACAGGGGTCTTGGGTCAGGGGGGAAAAGGTAATAATTTTCCCGGTTAGTAATTTATCATACCCACCCTACACCCCTCCCCATATAGAAAACAATACAACATAGGGCTTATCTTATTCATATAGGGCTTATCTTAATTTATAATATAGGCCACACACGTGTGTTTGAAACTAATAAGCATTTTCATCATCATGGTTACAAACATAATCTTTCACTATCATTGCACATTGAGGCCCTTCTTTTAAGGTAAAACGATCTATCTTATTTTTTTTTTCTTTGGTTTGGGACTATTATGTGTTTTAAAAACTTAGAAGGCCAACCCTTAAAAAACCCAATAATATAAGCTCGAAACGCGCAAAACATTTTTGTGTTTTTAATTCTAATTTTGTCGGAATTGATCAAAAATCCCTAAAATGTGCAATTTTAGAGGAATTTGGCCCACTTTAACAAGGAATGAGATTTTAGGCACTTTCAGGGGGTAAAAAGGGCATCTTCAAGGAGTGGGAAAAGATTTTCCACAGATGGATATTTTCCTTTGTCCCCAGGTTGTTACGCCACTGCGGAGAATATCTGCTGGCGGCTTAGATCAAAAGGAGCTTGTGGACACTTTTTGAAGTGGAAGGGGTTGCAGGGTGTTGTGAGTCTGATTATTATATCTTTTCCTTTTTCCTTTCCTTTTCTTTTCTAGTCTTTTTTCTTTCCCTCCATCTCCCCTCTTTTTTCTCTTATTACCCAGCCCGGTACGATGGCTTGGTCAGCCCGGTAAAAAACGTCAGGGGGGTGGAGTCAGAATCAGAATTTGTGAGAAATATGCCTTCAAATAACTGCAATTTTGTTATAACAACGTGTTGCGTAATTTACTGAATTAGCCACATGTGCGTCAACTATGTTTGTTAATAATGGTTTGTTATCCTTAATGGAGTAGGCCTATGAGCAAACCTGTTTATGTAAAGACCTCGCAACTCAACAAATAGTTTAATTGTATGTGTTATGAATAATATCTTTCATTATTCAGCAATGAATTCAAACTGGAAATATATTATTAGTGGTTAATTAAGTCATCCACTATAGGTGAACATTTTTAATAACTTAAGATTTTGCTTATTCTATACATATAATAGGCCTATATTTACATTCTACTTATGTATACCTTTAACATTCTAGTATTTATGGTCGTGTTATCCATGATTATGTAGGCCTACGTATACCGGTACTTGATGAACGAAAACGTTCGTTTGTTTACTTTATAAACTACGTTTAGCAATACTAGATACCCCTCTCACAAATTCTGATTCTGATTATTGTTATGATTATCAATATGTTAATAACATAACAAAAATTCAATTCACGATCATAAACACACCCAAAACGTTATGTACAGGAATAGGCTCGAGAACATGATTACCAATGTGATAGATGCACTTGATAAAAACTAATTGATACAATTTTGTAATTTTTAATATCAATACCAAATTTCCACATTGCTTGTGAAGAAGAACAGCATAATGGGGAGACGAGATACTCTGTAAACAATCTAACATCATCAGGAAAAAAGTGATGGTGAAGAAATAAAATGCAACGAAAGGTAGAATAAAGAAATTAAATAATAACTCAATATCATTAACTGTTGCTAAAAAAGATGATAAAACATATCAACTGCTTCATTAACATCTCCATCTAAGCTAAGTCTAACATATTATTGCCACAGGTTCCAGATTTTAATCAATGTATCAGTAACATGCTCACCCATTGAATTCGCTGGTGCCGTAAAACAATCGACTTCAGGTTCAAAGACTATACCTAAGATGAGAATTTCACTCTTTTTATTAAATGTAGCATAACTTTTTCAACAGATGTAATAAAGTCATAAAGAACCTTTTGCTTTAAATTTGGGGGACGGTGAAGTATTCAAACTAGATGCTTTAATAGGATTTGAATTCCCAACAAATCACTGAACCTACGAAAATATAAACAAATATATAAATGATTGGAATAGTGCTCAAATTTAGTTCCTCAGAACAGCAATAGACAGCAGAAGGCCCTGGGTTGGAATCCCGTTTGTGGCACCTATATTTTTTCACACTCGCAGATTCCTCTTCTTTAACGTTTAAAAATGTATCATATATATTTACACAAGACGGTTTAGAGTTTACCTATATCATATCATTATTTACTTATAAAAACATCTCTTCGGATATCTCGTCTTGTCGTCAATTGCTGATAAGAAGGGCGTATCATATTGATCTATGTTATTTGCCATGCACCAAGGACTAGTGCTGTCTAATACGCATGCACATGAGTATGAAAGAATTAGCTGCTTTAATCGGATTTGAATTCCCATGGCATAGTTGGTTAAGGCGTACTACAGCAGAAGGTCCTTTATTCGATTCCCGATTGGGGCACCTATTTTTTCACACTTGCACATTTCTTTTTTTTTTAACGTAAACAAATGATTTACAGTATATATATATTTACAGCATTATCACAAGGCTCTAAAGCATGATTATATTATGATCCAGACGTTGATTACTCACCCCTTGTTAGTTCTGCAGACTCCTTGCTTACCTCAGTCATTGGACCTCTATTTGTATCAATAGTGATACTGCAACTGTAATTTCCTAGATCACATGAAGTTGCGTTTAGAATCCAAAGTGTTTTCTTTCTGTATTTTTCTTTCAAAATGTATTTAGTTGGTGTAATGTTAATTTTCCTGCCATCAAGTAACCATGTTACATTGGGTTGTATATCAGGATATATTATAAGCCAATTGCAAAAGAAGTAAACATTGTTGTTTTTTCCCACTTCTAAGATAATCGAAGGAGAATTCATATCTTCAATGGAAAAAAATTACATACAAAAATAGTAAATGATATTCTATAGGCATATTGGTAAAAACTAAGCATGATCACATGTATGTTAGTAGCGGTATTTTTATATTGAATTCTGGACAATAAAAATACTGTTTAAACAAAAACAAAGTAACTTTACACTCACATTTGTAATCGAAATTTGCTAGCTCCACATATTCTTGTACCAGTTCAGGACCGTAGGCAGGATTTTGGGGATGGGGAGGTGCGTTTTGCGAACGAAGCGGACTTAGGATTGGATACTGCCTAGGGCTTCACGTGGGGTGGTGAGGGGTAGGGCTAAAGTACATTATGATCATGGTACCTCTAAATGGTCGGTCACACACAGACCTAAATTTGATTATAATTTTTCTTTTTTCTTCTTCTTTTAGAATTTTATGCTGCCACCCTTGAATCCGCCATTGTGAAGTTGTAACTTTTTATGTCCATTAATATGTATCCTACAGATGATATGGATCAATCTGCAATCACTGGCTCGAGCAGACAAGTTCCAACAGATTTCGTAGCACATTATTAAAAATCAACGGTTACAAGAGCGGGCAATTAAAATGCAATGCATACTAAAGCATTTTGCGATAATTAGGAAAGAATTTAGTGAAATACTAGGTTTCAACAAATGGACTTTTTAAAATTTGGGGGTCCAGGGCCAGAGGCATGGAGGGAGTTTGTGGAAAAGCCACGGAAGTCTGCAGCAAGTTAGCATTTTGAGGGTGTCATATAATAGCTGTCTTAAACACATAATTCGTTAATATTTTATTTAACTTTTCATTTAATTTTTGTGTTTTTAGGGCCTGAATAAGTAACATTATATATTCTATATCATCTGTGGATCTACAGATAACATGTTCATATTATGGATCAATCTGCAATCACCGGAGCCGATCAATTTTCAACAAATTTCATATCACATTATTAAAAATCAATGGTTAGAAGAGCTAGGAAATATATCAATGCATGCTAAAGCAATTCGTGATAATTAAGAAAGATTTTGAAACAACAGGTTTAAAAAAGTGGACCCTTTGAATTTGAGGGGGTGCGTCCTTTCTCCGAACTCCACCCTATGGACGGCCGGAAACCTAGGGATCTAGCCATTAAGCTCACCTCCCTCGCAAAAATGCACACCTCCATCAAAAATTCTACATAAGGGCTAGCAACGAATGCAGTTTTAAATATTTTGAAATGATAAAAAAGAAGGAAATTTATTTATTTTTGTATTTATAACACTCACAATATACTTGCAGATGAAATATGTGTTGCCATACTGTTGTTACATCCTTCTCAACAATTTGACAGGTATAATAACCTGTATCTCTTCTGTACACAGGCTCTATAATCAAATCTCCGATGGTTTGGTCAGTGAAATCAATGGAAAAGCGACCTTGATTGGGAGAACTCAGACTAACGATAATATTGTGAACGTCCACTTTCACACCATTGAACCAGTTAACCGAGTGTATACTTGCACTTGACAAATTATCTGCATCTTGGGCTGCTGGGAGTTCTATTCTTTTCCCCTCAATTACCCACAACCATGTTTCCGTAGCTTCAGTTACTAAAAAGAATAAATAGGCCTATAAATAATTCGTTATAGAGCAAGATAACCGACTGCACGACCACCCCAGCAAACAAAAGATATTTCTATCATTGTCAATTTTGTAATACTTAAAATTGTATAATTAGGTTATAAAACGTAGGTTTTTTTATGGCTCACAAAAAAAAAAACCGTTCTGTATACCAAATTGCAGCCATATAATGGGGACATTACCTTATAAAATAATGTTATTTTTAGACCTCTTTTGAATACTAAAACAATTAAGGTAAACATATTGACAAAATAAATAATAGGTCTATTTATTTTCTTTCATTTCCTTTTCATTCCCAGGGCCAAGAAAATTCCAATAATGAACTTTAGTTATATGGCAATCCTATACAATAGAACACACAAACAAGAATAATTGGCCTGTCATGACAAATTTGGTCCGGGGCAAAAATCGGTCCGGCGGACTGATTTTGGCAACTTGCCCAAATGTAGTCCACATAAGCCAAAATCAGTCCGCTGAAATTTACTTTGCTGCACAGCAGACTTGGAAATATTACGTCCGCAATAGATTTTGGTGGAAAGAACAATTCCTAAGCTTTTACAGACGCGCATATGCTTATCTAGCCAATCACAATGATGTCCCTAGCTGAAGCCTTAATTTGCATACATCACCCTATAAGAGTTCGGCATGTACTTGTGTTAGCCTTCGAGGTTAGTGAACATTGGAATAACAGTAAGGAAAGACAAGCTATGTACACGGATATTATCTGTAGTTGTATTTTTAATAGTGTTACAGTATATTTGCTATGAACAATTACACACATTGACATAAAATTTAATTTCATATTCACAACTCATACCGCCTCCACGCCTCATACTGTATATTTGGTAGAAAGAGAGGGTGGGTGAAAGTCGTGAAATGGTTTTTGAAACCTACGCTGATTTCAAACCACCAATCACAATCACAATGATGTCCATCGCTGAAGCCTGAATTTGCATACATCACCCTATATAAGAGTTTAAGGTCATGATGTACAGTACAGTATTTGGCTTTTGTTGATAGCAGAGGCTTCGAGGGTTTGTGCACGTGGAAGGATAAGGGAAAACCTAGCTATATAGGCTCTAGAGTACACAGATATATACTAGTTGTTAAAGATAGTTTATTGTGTGTAAAATAAAAAAATATGTATAAGTTAAAAATGTAACAGTATCTTGATATATATAAGGGGAGGCGGTCGAAACATCTGTGAAAGGGTTTTTTTCTGCGCTGAGTTCGAACTACCAATCAAAACTATGCCATGATTGAAGCCTTAATTTGCATACATCACACTATATAAGAGTTTGAGATGGGAATGCATATGACTTTAGTTGATAGGAGAGCATTAGTGAACGTGGAGGAATAAGGAAAGACTAAGCTATGTAGGCTCGAAAGTACAGATATATACCAGTTGTTAAAAACAATTACATTCTCAATATTGCTACAGTACCTCCCTGTATTTTTGTGTTCTTATGGATGCATTTTAAATGATGACCACCAAAACGGCAATAAACCAAAACGGCAATGATAAGTACCAAAACGGCAACAGACCAAAACGGCAATGTCAACTACTAAAACGGCAATAGGCTTAGACCAAAACGGCAAGGGAGCAAAAATCAATCCCAAGACTGAAGCGCCACCGGGCGCGGGCAGCAGTTTATAATTTTCTTATTTTGTTTTGTTTTATTTTTCTTTTTCACATCCATGATCAATCTTTTTACTATTGAATTTGTATGTTGTTGTTATTATTATTATTATTGTTATTATTATTATTATTATTATTATTATCAATGTTGTACTTCTTTCGCGTTTTTTTACTACGCCTTCGGCTTAGACTCTCTAGGCCTAAGCCTAGTAGTATTTTATTTAGCCATTTTGTCAAATTACCATACAGTATGTCATTCTGGAAGTGTTGCTGTTTTGACTTATTGCCGTTTTGGTCTAAAAGTGTTGCCGTTTTGGTTTTTTGCCGTTTTGGTCGTTGCTGTTTTGATTTATTGCCGTTTTGGTCTTTTGCCGTTTTGACATGTTCCCAAAGTAACATCACTGTAGATAATATTGATGTGATTACAAAACTTGTTATCACGCAACACGTTTTCTCGGTCATATAATTCGGAAGGAATCTGTAGAATTTTTGGCTTCATAAAGCGTTGGAAGCTCTTGCCCGCGAAGCTTGCATCACGTATGGCACTTGAAGAAGAAGAAGAACAGTAATTACCGTTTTCTTTCGAATAAACCCAGATTTGAATAAACGCTCCTCTTAGAGCTTCATTCAGAACAAACATGTCCCTCGAATAAACACACTGGGCGTTTATTTTTCCTCGAATAAACGCTTCTCTAAATGACTGTAAACAACATCATTCTCAACACATTCTATTAATGGTCTACTCCAGTAAAAAAAAAATGTTTTAACCTGCCGTGGATCAGTAAGTTTTCACGATGACGCAATAACACATTTTGACGGTAATTATGTGTTGTTGCCATTTATTGAAACCAAGGGGCCTTTATTTGACTAATTTATTTCCTTCACATCCAACAGCAAGTACACTCGCCACTTACAGGATGAGAATGATGCTTTTATAAACTTTATGAGGCTTAGAGAGTGGAGTTGTTTTTAGTCGTGAGGAAAGTCATGTTGTGACAGGAACTGGACCCAGGACCCTGGAATCAGAAGGCATCTTAACCGCTGAGCTCCACTCCACTATTACGTATCCATTTTAAACTAAACAAAAAAAAAAAAACAACAAAAAAAAAAACGCCTCCCTCGAATAAACGCCCCTCCAAAAATATCCTCAGCTAGCAATAAACGCTCCGGGCGGGTTACTGTTCGAATAAATACAGTCTATATAGGGCCTATATTGAATTGCATAAATGGACACAAAACAAAATAATTGAGAACAGTTATAACAAGAATCATTTGTAAAATAAATATTCATTGCTTACCTCTGAATATGATGATGACAACTAAAAACATAATATACATGATTCCACATCAGTAAAAATCTACACTTAATAGGGCTATAAAGAACATCGACTTAACAGTTTTTTTTCCCAAATGCCTGAGGCATGCTTAAGTTTCCGTAATTTATCCAATCTAAATTATTTCCTGATTATTTGTTTTGCTTTCATAAAGCTCGGTTTTGTATTTTTAGCATTTTAAATAAAAGAACCGCAATCCTAATTTTTTAAATTATATCTATTTTTTTTATAATACCTTATAATTACTGAATTATATTAAATAATAAAGCGTTTTTGATAATTTTAATTTTAATGAATTTAAACAATATTTTTTTTAATTCTCTATAATTGAAATAATTTTTTTTAATTATTAGATTTTAAGGTCGCAATTACTTTAAATTCCCTTCCCTTAACAACGAAACCATTCATTACCTAAAATTGTTAGAAGTTTCTGAATGAAATTTCTATATATTTATGCAAGTTAAGTATATAACCTTGTGCAGTGTTTTAATTATTTGACTTTTTAAATTTAAGTCAATGTTTTATTTCCAATATTTGAATGTGTTTATATATGTATAGGCCTACGTCTCCTTGTTTGAAGGTTTTTAAAAAAAAAATATTAAATTGAAATTTATAAATTGATTTGTTTTATCTTTAATTTTTTATAAATAAATTTTTATAATCTAAATTTTAAATTATTTATTGTGCAGCATTCTTTCATATGTTAAGTGTAATTAATGTAATTTAATTAATTGGTAAGATTTGCTATTTTTAGTGGTTAGTTAGTGCAATTTTCAATGTTTACTTTCTGTCTTGAGGACCCCAATGGAAATAAGTTTACTCGTAAACTTTCTTGGGTATATTCCTCTCAGTTCATTCAGTTGGTATTGTTCTTTATACTTTTTATCTGTTTCTGTGCTTTTGTAATGTTTTGTTTTTATCTCTCTGAATGAACTGAATAAATTGAAATGAAATGAAATTCCATAGAATCGCTCACCGATATCGGCGACAGTCGCCGGGAAGGTTGAACCATTTAAAATTTGCCGATTGCCTTGCAGACGAATCGGAGTGCCTTTCCCATTGCGCCAGGGCATCTAGCAGTGCACCCGGATTCGTCTGCAACGCTATCGGCAAAGTTTAGCCAGGGTCAAACTTCCCGACAACTGTCGGCGACTGTCGCCAACAGGGCGATAAACCGAGCCGTTGCGTCAGTGTGCATCAAAATCTAAGCTAATACAAAACTAGCTTGGAAGTCTAAAGAGTAATTCATTATTAATTGAAACAAAAATAAAATGTGTTCATACAGTACTGTACTGTATGTCCTTCGAACCGTAGCGTGCTATACACTGGACATGCTGAATGGTTGTTCTTTGTCACACTACGTGACCCCCTTCAGGGGCGGATTTAGGGGGGGGGCGGCCCGGCCGCGGCCCCCTTTTGGAAGGTAAAAGAATAGAAAAAAAAAAGAAAGAAAAAGAAAAGAATGATAGCCCACAACGCCTCAAATGTTATTTTCAACGACGCCTCAAAAAATTTCGCGGGGGCATGCCCCCAGGACCCACTAGGACTTTGTTGTCTCGATCGGCCCAAATTTCGGTCCCCCCCCCCCTTTTGGACATCTCTGGATCCGCTCCTGCCCTTCACCAAGATTATTCTGTAAACATACAAACGCAACACAAAGCGTTCTAAACTCTGTTATTATTTAAGGGTTTGATTAAACCATAGAGGAATTAGTTTATTAAATTCATTGTTTTTATTTAAGGGTTTGATTAAACGATCCTGGAATTAGTTTATTAAACTCATTAATTGTTTATTCAGGTGTACGGTACACTCGCTTTTCAAAACCAAATGTTTACGTTTAAAAAATGTACGGAATTGATTTGAGTCCCCTTCAAATGAAAACCATAGCGTGCTACAACACATTAGACATGCTGAATGGCTGTTCTTTGTCACACTACCAACCCCTTCACCAAGATAATTTTGAAATCATATAAACACAACACACAAATCAATTCTAAACTCTGTTATCATTATTTAACGCTTTGATTCAACTCATTCATTTATATACGAGAACAGTCTCCAAAATAGTAGTTAAATTAAATTACAATTATTGATGTAAAATCAAGAAATAATAATAAAAATAATAATAATAATAATAATAATTTATGTAGCGCATTTTCAGAGTTCTGTTTAAAGCACTTTACATAAAAATTGATAAAATACAATATAAAACAGGCAGCATTATACAATCAAATTACAAAAATATTATATATAAAAACTACAAAAATATACTTATAATTAATTACATTGTTAAAATAATTAAAAT